TGTGCTTACATAAACTATGTCTTGAGTGGCCTTGAAGTCAGAACATCTGGCGCTAGAAGGTCTGCTATTGGTGCTTGGGAAATAGATAATGGGAAAGCTTGAAGGATTTTCTGTGCATGTTGCAAACTCTTTAGTAATCAGCTAAAAATAGATACTTTCTTATGATTGTTTCTGTTAGCTATATAATGCCTTGCTGCCTTGAATAAAATTGGCACTATTGGACATCCTCCTTGGCGCTCCTCCTGCCCCATCTCTTTGTCTCTTAATTTCTTTTCACCATCCTCTTACCCTCTCGACCCTGGTCAATTTGTCACACCGGCTGTGACAAAAGGCAAAGGAAACAAAAGCGAAAATGAACTTTTGGGACTTCATCAAGATCAAAAGCTTCTGCACAGCAAAGGAAACAGTCAACAAAACAAAAAGGCAACCCACAGAATGGGAGAAGATATTTGCAAATGACAGTACAGACAAAAGGTTGATATCCGGGATCCATAAAGAACTCCTCAAACTCAACACACCCAAAACAGACAATCATATCAAAAAATGGGCAGAAGATATGAACAGACACTTCTCCAATGAAGACATACAAATGGCTATCAGACACATGAAAAAATGTTCATCATCACTAGCCATCAGGGAGATTCAAATTAAAATCACATTGAGATCCCACCTTACACCAGTTAGAATGGCCAAAATTAGCAAGACAGGAAACAACATGTGTTGGAGAGGATGTGGAGAAAGGGGAATCCTCTTACACTGTTGGTGGAAATGCAAGTGCAGCCACTTGGAAATCCAAGTGCAGCCACTTTGGAAAACAGTGTAGAGATTCCTCAAGAAATTAAAAAGAGATCTTCCCTATGACCCTGCAATTGCACTACAGGGTATTTACCCCAAAGATACAGATGTAGTGAAAAGAAGGGCCATCTGTACCCCAATGTTCATAGCAGCAATGGCCACGGTCACCAAACTGTGGAAAGAACCAAGATGCCCTTCAACGGACGAATGGATAAGGAAGATGTGGTCCATATACACTATGGAGTATTATGCCTCCATCAGAAAGGATGCCTCCATCCACCAACTTTTGTATCAATAGGACGGGACTGGACGAGATTATGCTGAGTGAAATAAGTCCAGCAGCGAGAGTCAGTTATCATATGGTTTCGCTTATTTGTGGAGGATAAGAAATAACATGGAGGACATGGGAATATGGAGAGGACCAAGGAGTTGGAGGAAATTGGAGGGGGAAATGAACCACGAGAGACTGTGGACTCTGAAAAACAATCTGAGCGTTTTGTTGGAGTGAGGGGTGGGAGGTTGGGGTAGCCTGGCCGTGGGTATTATGGAGGGTACGTATAGCATGAGCATTGGGTGTGGTGCATAAACAATGAGTTCTGTTACACTGAAAAGAAATTTTAAAAAAAATGTGAACTACTGAAAAATTAGAGCACGTTGAATGTTTGCAGCAATAATGAAGTTATATTATGCAAAGAAGATAGAAATTAGGAAGTGAATTAATTAAATTCTCTGGAGGTAAAAAAATAAAAATAAAAACTAATGTGACTAATCATTACATCTGTGAGAAGCAGCAGCTCAAAGGCTGAACACAAAATTGGAAGAAAATGCTGAGGATGTTTTGTGCGATGCCAGACAGACAGACTGAAAGGAGAACATGTAGATACCCAGGGAACAGGGGACCGGTGGATACTGTGAGTCTGGATAGAGAGCAGCGAGGAGGATGTCAGGCAACAGTCCCAGGGGCCAGTGGTCAGGTGTTGTAAAGAGACACGGACAGAGCAGGAGGCTGCTGGCATGCATGGATGTGTCCCTCAGATCTGTGTCTCCGTGTCTCCCGATAAAGCAAAGGAAGTTGATGGGAGCTTTTGAGCAGAAAAAAAAAGCAGAGAGATTCGGGACATGTGCTTATACGGAATCATGAGTGAGGGATGCCTTACTCGCCCAAGGGAGCTTTAGGTAAAAAGGCAAAGGTAAAAGGGTCGGCAGAGCCCACATCCTCAAGCACAAGGAGACAGGGACCTCGTGTAGCCTTGGGCTTCATCTCTGTGAGGGAGGAGGAGAGCCCCCCAGCAGGTGTGTTCGCAGCTTCTCACCGTTGGGTCCCCTCTTTTACTTGGAATAAGGCAATGTTTTCTTTCTCTTTCTTTTTTTTTTAATCTAGGAAATCAATGAAGTTTTATTTATTTATTTATTTATTATTTAACATTTTTTTAAATATCTGAATTAAATTTTATATTTTTAGTGTTCCAAAATTCATTGTTTATGCACCACACCCATGGCTCCATGCAATACCTGCCTTCCTTAATACCCACCACCAGGCTCCCCCAACCCCACCCTTACAAAACCCTCAGTTTGTTTCTCAGAATCTACAATCTCTCACGGTTCGTCTCCCTCTCCGATTTCCCTCAATTCACTTTTCCTTTTCCTACTCCTTCCTAATGTCCTCCATGTTATTCCTTGTGCCCCACAAGTGAGTGAAACTCTGCTGGTCTCTTCTAGACAGCATGTGGATGGCTCTTATTTTTTTATTCAATCTGATACCTGTAAAGTTTTTCCGGCGAGATAAACACGACACCAAGCAAAGTGGGTGCAAGGCAAGATTTATTAAAGGCGTCTCCGGCGCAGTTTCAGGGCTCAGGAGAAGGGGAGCCAGGAAAGTTGCGCCGGGAGGAGGTGGGCACCCTCGGGCGAGGTTCCAAGACTCTGGAAAGCAGAGTGGGGCAAGTCGTGCCCAAGGCAGGGAGAAGGGGGCTTTTAAGGGGCCTCGAGGGGAGTTCGGGGGTCTTTTGGCAAGTTTCCCCTATTTGGATATTTCGCCTGCTCGTCAGGGTCCCATTGGTTCACGGGAGCCCAGGGTGGGGGTCTCAGATTCCCGCTTGTCAGGGTCCTATTGGTCCCCGGGAGCCCGGGGCCGGGGGTGGGGTTTTCAGATTCCTGCTTGGGTCTTTGTTCTCCTGTCCGAGCTCAGGTTTTGTGGCGGGAACTTACGCCATCTTAAGTAGCCCTTTCTTTCTGCCAGCCCAACAATACCCTGTCTCTTTTGATTAGAGCATTAGGCCCATTTAATTCAGAGTCACTATTAAAATAAGATGTGGTCTATATATACAATGGAATATCACTCAGCCATCAGAAAGGATGAACACCCAACTTTTGTATCAACATGGACAGGACTGGAGGGGATTATGCTGAATGAAATAATTCAAGCGGAGAAAGTCAATGATCATATAGTTTCACTCTTATGTGGAACATAAGGAATAGCATGGAGGACATCGAGAGAAGGAAGGGGAAAATGAAGGGGGTAAATCAGAGGGGGAATGAATCATGAGGACTCTGAGAAACAAACTGAGGTTTTTAGAGGGGAAGGTGGGAATGGGTAAGCCTGGTGTTGGGTGTTCAGGATGGCACCGGTTGCAGGGAGCACTGGGTGTTGTATGCAAACAATGAATCATGGAACTCTGCATTAGAAACTAATGATGTACTGTGTGGTGACTAAATAACAAAAAATCTGCGTAAGATTATCAGATTTACAAATCTATTCCTAAGATGTGTGAGTGCACAAAATCAATTTTTACGCTAAATGCTTGCTCAAATGTATACAATTATGAAGTGTTTCATAACTTACCTTACATAAACATGCAAGGAAACAGGCAGAAGCCACAATGACAACTGCCACTTCCCAACGGCACTCGGGGGAAGAACGAGGCACAAACAAGTCCGCTTCCAGAGAGTGGGAGCAGGGGTCGGCAGGTGCGGAGACTGCAACCCAGAACAACACCTCAGTCCCGTCTTTGTTAGATACGAGATAACAATCAACAAAGGAGGAAGCAGATTATAGATAAACCAGATATGCCTGACCAAGCAGGATGGGGTTAGTGGTTGAGTAAAGGCATTTGGAGGAATCATCTAATTAACTACAGGTGATCTCTGGAGAAGGGGAGAAAACGGAAGTACCGCCCTGAGCAGGCGGGCGACCCCAGCTGCTCCACTGCAAGGACGTGTATCATCCTTTCCAAGGCACGCCTGCTGGTCCATGATCAAGCATGTGTGGTCAGTACCTTGTTCTGAGGGACGGTTACACACAACTTTATCTTCATTCGTACATTCATTTACTTATTTATTTTAAAGATGTTATTTGTTTATTTTTGAGAGAGAGACAGAGAGCGAACACAAACGGGAAGGAGGGACAGAGGGTGAAGCAGATTCCCCACTCAGCAGGCATCCCGCAACACAGGACTCCATCCCAGGACCCTGGGATCATGACCTGAGCCCAAGGCAGGTGCCGCACAGAAAGAAACTCTAAGGCGCTCAAATCACAACTAAAAAAAAAAAAAAAAAAAAGGAAAATCCATTTATTCCTTGGAGTCAGTGTAGCAGCTCCTACCTGACTTCACCTCAAACACCCCTGAGCTCACTCAAACTGATGGTGTTTCTGGAAGATTCCACCAGGTGTTGCCGCATGAGGACAGAAGAGCTCTGTGAGTCCAGAGAGGGTTCAGGGAATGGTTTTGGATTCATCTGTTCCAACGTGGACCTGATTTTCACCCACTTATTTACTTATGAAAACAGAGTCTGTGTTTTCGGCTGAGGGATGGAGGGCAGTAGTGGACATCAGGGAAGGTGGAAATGGAAAGTGAAGGAAAATGTATCCCACGAAGGTGGACCAGAGCTGCCGCTGTAGGAAGGTATGAACCAGTCCTGCCTTGTGGTACGAACCCTCAACTCACAGGGATGAGGAAGGAGGGGCAAGACCAGGATGTCCAACAATGCAGGAGGGAAAGCACCACAGGTCAAGGGGGACGAGTCCTGGACAGGGAGCAGCCCAGGTGCACCTCCTGCACCTGAACCATGCTCCCCCTCGATGTTGTCAGCAGACAAATCAGCGAGGGTGAGCTGCGGGCTTTCCTCCAGATCCCTCTGGGCACCTGGGATTCATGCCCACAGCTCTGCCACAGGGAGTGGTGGCTTTGCTCCGCCTCGTGTTTAGCTCCTGGCTGCATCTGGGGTCCTTCTCTGGCTGTGCTGAGCCTCTAGCAGCAGAATCCCAAGGACCACCAGGATCAAGGCAGCCACGCCCAGGCGGGTCAGATTCTCCACCGTGTAATCTCTGGGGTCCGAGGCTAGGAATGAGGACAGAGAGGTTGCAGAGGTCAGAGAGGACCCAAATCACCCATATCCTGCATGTCCACTCAGGGGACCTGCCTCCCCCGGACAGGACACCCCCTCCACACCAGAACCATCACTGAGAATTTCTCCTACTCACCACTGCTGGGGTCTGAGTTGTTTTGGGGTGGGCTCACGGGGCCAGTGGCTTCTGCAGGGAAGATGGAAGCAGAAGGAAGGAGCTGGAGACCCCTGTCCCGCCTGTCCTCTGCTCTGTGTCTCTATCCTCAGCCTGTCACTATGTGGTTTTTGTACAGTTTCTGAAGTAGCCCTTCTCTGCACTAGAGGGCTTTCCTCTGCTCTCCTCACTGGATTCCTTCAGCCTCCTTGTTCTCTTTGATTTCAGACTCTGCTTCTGAGTCACTTGGGATAGATTCTGGCTGTGCCCCACCAGCTCAGGGTTGCAGAGAAAAATGGCCTCCCAGCACAGAAATCATCATGTCCTCACATGTTCTCTGTTCTGTCTGGGACACAAGACCTCCTGGGCTCATGTCCCTGCAGATGACAGTTCCCACTTATTCAGTAGCTGAGGTCCCAGCAGCATCCATGGACAAGGGGCTGGAGCCAAGGGCTCCTGACTGTCAGGAGCACAGAGGGGATGATGTCTGGGGCTGGGTCCCTGTCCCTCCATGTCAACCAGCTCCCTTCCTTCAGGGTCAGCACTTTATTCTATACCTACAGTATTCCTCCTTGGTTATGTTCATTAATTCATTCTTCAAATACTTACAGATACCACAGTGCTAGACACACACACACACACACTCACTCACAGAGAGAGAGAGAGGGAGAGAGATCTGTGTGCGCACATCTACAACAGACATATAAATATGTATCCACGAAAGGTGATGGTCAGGCACTGGGTCATAGGAACACCGTTATTGCTCACATGCAGTGTGGATAGAGATGGGAAGAAGAGCTACATAAGTAAATAAACCAACCAACCAATAAACAAACAAAAAAGATAAATGAGACTCATTGAAAATGTGCTGAGACCCAGGAGTGCCCAGAGCTTGTGCCCCACAAGGACCCTGTGAATCCAGTCTAACCCAATGCACACAGGAGAAGGAGGATGGTTTCTGAGTCTGGCGTCCCTGTCACCTGAGTTCCCTTTGTCCTCATCTGCAGGTGCTGCTCTAGAAGGTGTGAGAAGCAGACACAGGGACACTGGATCAGTGTCCACACACAGTGCAGAGTGGTCACCAGGCTGCATATGGACATGGGGTGCAGCCTCCCTGGAGACTCCTGTGAGCCTGGATCGACACTCCCAGGTCTCAGGTGCTCACCAAGGAGCATGGAGTCCCCCAGATGAGCATGGGGGCAGCCGAGCGGTGTCTGCAGGTGCGGAGGCTTCTGTCCTGGACACAGTACTGTGGGGCTGACACCACGGATTGGATTCAGCTATGGAGGGACAGGAGGCGAGTGGGAGGCGCTGTCCACTCACCATCATCCTCACTCACCCCCCATGCAGCCCCTACTCCTTACTCTGCTGAGACTGCAGGATGGGGGACACCGGGTGCACACTGTGGATCTTCCCAACATCTCCAGGGCAGGACCCTCCTCTGTGGAGACCCCATGAACCCCATGTTTGTTATCATGTCAGGCTTTCCTGAGACGTGGGTCCTGAGCTGACAGAGCTCAGACAGGACAGGGTCAGGGCCACTCACCTGAGACCAGCAGCTCCAGGGGGTCACTGGGCTGTGACAACAGGTAGGGGGAGGTCCTGGCAGAGGCGTAGCACCTGTAGGTCCCCTCATGGGCTGAGGTCACAGGACTCATGGAGAATTCAGCCCGGTGCTGCCCAGCTCGGTACTGTGATCTTAGACGCAGCAGGGGATTGGCTGCCCCCTCCTTGGACAGAAGGAAATTGTCCACAGAGCTCCGTGACTGACACAGCAGGGTCACATTCTCTCCTGGGGCCACGGTAGGTCCTGGTTGCACCAAGAGGGAGGGTGTGAAAGGCAGTTGTCCTAGAGAGAGGAAGGGCAGGTGAGGGGCTGTCCAATCCTTGTTCTGAAGTGCGTCTGTCTGTGTCCTCCAAGTCTGTGCCATCCCATCCCCTGTCTCTCTCTGTCTCTCCCTCCCTGGGGACCCTACACCCTTGGTCCTGGCCACCACCACTTGGGGATCCCCTGGTAGAACCTGTGCAGAATCTGGGGTCCTGACCGTGAGACCTCACCTGCGAGCAGGATGTCCAGGGGGTCACTGGGGGCCGACCACTCGGAGGAGAGAGTGTGACCACCGTAGCATGTGTACCAGCCCCCGTAGGAGGGTCTCACAGGGCCCAGGGGGAAGTCTGCCCCAGAGAGCCCAGCCTGGGGCTGCCGGCCAAGCTGCCGGGGAGGGTCAGGTGCCCCCTCCTTGGACAGAGCGAATCTGTCGTAGCCAACATCAGAGTGACACTGGAGGGTCAGGCTCTGTCCAGAGGTCACAACAGGGCCCTGCTGGGTCAGGAGGGAGGGCTTCCCCGACACACCTGGGAGAGACCAGCCGTGGATAGCAGGGGCTGAGTCTCCCCAAGCCTCCCCTTCTCCTGTTCTGACCCCCGGGTCTCACTGTCCGTCAACCTCCGTGACTGACCTGTGAGTCCCCGTGGTCCCCTCACACACCCTCTCATTGTGGCTCCCCGGGAGCAGAGTCCCTGTTAACTGTCTGGCTCCTCAAAACACATATGGGGCAACAGTCAGACTTTCTTACCTGAGACCAGCAGCTCCAGGGGGTCACTGGGGTACGACCACACCTGGGGGGTGTTGCTGTAATAGCCATAACATCTGAATCTCCACCTGTGGTTGGGGGTCACGGGGCCCACAGGGAACAGGGCCTGGGTCCCCCCACGGGGGGCTGCCTGGGAGTTCAGGGTCCAGGAGGGCTGGCGCTCTCCTTCCCTCATCAGGATGAACCTGTGGATTCCCATCCATGAGGCACACTGGAGGGTAACGTTCCCTCCTGAGGTCACAACAGGGCTGGGCAGGGCTGAGAGGCTGGGTTTGTCCTGGGATCCTAGGAGAGGAGGAGGGGGTGGTGTTAAATGGGGCTCAGACCCTCACATTATCCCCAGGCTGGGCTGTGTTAGAGAGACCCCTGAGAGTTCCCCCTTCCAGAGGGCAGAGTCTGAATCTGGGACCCTGAGTGGGCTCGCACCCGTCACCACCACCAGCTCCAGGGGGTCACTGGGCTCTGACCAGCCGGTCTGACTGAGATAGTCACAGCGGTATCTTCCTGCATGTACATCTGTCATGTGTGTGATGAAGAAGTTGGCCTTGTCCCCAGGCTCCAGTGGCTTCTGTGAGTCCCAGTTCCATGAGTCTCCCTCTTTACGCAGGCGGTACTCCTGGGCCTTCAGGCTCCCCTGACACCAGATGGTCACAGGTGTCCCCCAGGGCATCACAGAGCTTGGCTCAGCCCAGATGGTGGGTTTTGGGTGGGTCCCTGGAAGGAAACAGAGGCTGGGACTCAGACCTTCCCCACCCCCAGGTCCCATCTCAGCACCAAACCCCCAGACGTCCCACTCTGTCAGCCCAGGGCTGTTGGTCTCCATCCCCTACTCCCTGGTGGGTGACCCTTGTCCCCAGTGAGGAGGTGGGACTGGGAACCCTGGAGACAGACTCACCTGTCTGCACTTGGGTCCAGGGGCTCACACTCAGCCCTGGAAGAGAGTCCCTGTGAGAGGTTTGCCCCAAATCCTAGCAGATCCCCTCCTCCCCATGAGCCTCCTGTGCCTGGAGTCTCCAAGAGATCATGGCCTGTCTGTGGGGCGTGTCCCTCCCAGACTAGGGTGTCCCCTCCCCTCCTCAGATCTCACCGAGACAGAACAGGGCCGTAAGGGTGGGGGTCATGGTGTCTCCTCTCTCTGGTGCTGGCTCTGCAGACAGAGGGCCCACTGTGACCACAGGACAGACAAACACACAGGGTGTGGCCACACGGAGGCCAGTCCTGCCTGTCACAGGGTTGTCACATCAGCAGCCTCACAGGAAGGGGAACGGCCCCTCCCCAGGCCTAGACTGGCTGTGGTGTCCATGACAGTGCAGCAGGGGGACCCCAAGTCTTCCTGAGATGCCCCATCCAGGTGAGGGGACCAGGGCAGGTCCTTCCCTCCCAGAGCCTTCCCCATGGGTCTCCTTCATCCCCACAACCCTTGGTCCTCACCATGGATGGGTCCCCAGACTCAGAGACGCTGCAGGGGACATGGGCTCCTGCTGTGCTGGGGAGCTCATGTCAGCACAGACATGCATGTGATATCTCTGAATGGTCCAGGTCAAGGTCACGGTGGCAATGAGCCCAGAGGAGAAAAACGGGCAATTAGGGAAGGAAACACGGCCCCTCTCCTGGCCCCAGAGTGTGAGCTTCCTTTTTGTCACAGTCTCCAAGGACTTCTCTCTTTTCCTGTGACATGGTCCACACCCCATTCATGGGCACATGCCTGTGTGAGTCCCTCCTGGCTCCTCAGCACCCCTTGCTGCAGGGACAGAGTCATGCTCCCCACCTGGGGTCTTGCCTGTAAGCTGTAGGGAACAATACGTGGGTGAGTGCTCTGATATGGGAGACAGAGCTGATTCTCATGTCATTACTACTCCAGTGTCCACTGCCTGGGTGACCATGAGCACAGTGACCTGGTCTGTAGCATGCTGTCCTCAACCCCACTCTCAGTGTGGTTGTGGGGGTCAGTGGGACCTGGAATGTGGATGGGATGAATCTTGTTAGATTCCTGACCTGATTAAGAGTGGTGTGGTTAAGACCGAAGAGGTCCATGTGTCAGATCCCACAGTGAAGGTGGACCAGTGATGCACCTCTCAAGAGACCCCATGAGCTGTTTGCACTCAGAAATGCTATTTATGTTTCTGAAATTATTGATAACAGCCTATTTCAGAAAAGAGAAACAAAAATTTCTGGAATTTGGGGGACTTCAATAGAACAGAGGCCAAAGCTGAGTGACCACCAGTGCCTGGGGTCAAGTTGGGGGTGGTCAAATTTGATTTCTGCCTCTCTGAGGTCAGATGGGTGGCCAGGTCTTCACAGGCAGGAAGGGCATCCAGTTTCTGGCTGACTGTGGAAGTAGTGACCCTTCCACCTTGTGTGGAGTGGGCACTGACATGTCTATGCCCACTGACCCAGCCCTGAGGTCAGCACTGAGACACATCCTCTGTGCATGTGTGTGGAATGGTTCCATCCAGTGCACCACCCCCAGTGGTGTCTTGCCCATGTAAGAGTGTGTGGCTCCCCATGGGAGCCATCCCTGCCAGACACATCCAAGCTCCATTTCTAAGCTGGAAGATGGATGCCAGGGGGTAATTGGGGCTGTGACCATCTACTCCTTACAGTCCTGAGCTTCAGGACAGCTCTGGGAGCAACTGTGTCTGGAACTCTGGGGTGTGGGAAGTGAGTGTCCAACAAGAAGGGACATCAGAGAGTGGCCCCAGTGTGATAAGGAGTGCTATGTAAAACTGTGTGCAGAGTCGTCAATCATAGTCCAGTGGAACAGCCAGAATATGGGAAACTCATTTTCCTTTAAGCACATGAATATTGAAAAAGTGAACATTGGATTTTTGAAGTAATAACAGAAGTTATATCGTGGAAAAAGGTAGAAATTGGAAATGAATTAGTTAAATACTCTGGAGGTAAAATAATAATAATAATAATAATAATAATAATAAAAACTTAGCCAACATGTAGTACTATATATTGGCTAACTGGACATAATAAAAATAAATAAATAAATAAATCTTTGATATAACAGAATGCAAGTACTTGTTTCATCTGTGAGAAGACACAGCTGGAGAGCAGAACATGAAACTGGAAGACAATGCTGAGGATGCTTTGTGAGGTGCAAAACAGACAGACTGAAATGAAATCCTGCAGATATCTGGGGAACAGGAAGGACACTGGGTACTGTGAGTTCTGGAAGGAAAGCAATGAGGAGGGTGTCAGGCAACAGTCGCATTGGCCAATAGTCAGGTGTTTTACAGATGGAGACAAAACAGGCAGGTGCTGGTATTCATGGAAGTGTCCATGAAATCTGTGTTTCCGTATCTCATGGTGGAGTAAAGGAAGTTGACGGAAGCTGACCTTTGAACAGAAGAAAAATAGAGATTTGGGAAAAACACCTGTAAGGAATGATGAGTGAAGAATGCTTACTCACCCATGGGATTGTGAAGGGAGAAAGGCAAAAGGGTCAGCACGGCCCACATTCTCAAGGCCAAGGAGTCTCTGGGCGCTAGAAGAAGGGGCACATTGGTGGGTGACTCAGTGAAGTGTCTGACTCTTGGTTTTGGTTCAGAACATGATCTCAGTGACTTGAGATTGAGCCCTGTGTCAGTGAACATGCTCAGAGATGAGTCAGGTTGAGACTCTCTCTCTCTCTCTCTCTCAAATAAATAAAATAAATGTTTAAAATAGAAGGAGGGGCCACTGAGTGGCTCAGTCCATTAAACATCTGACTTGATCTGGCTCAGGTCTTGATCTCAGGTTCATGTTACAGACCCTGTGTTGGGCTCCATGCTGGACCGAGTCTACTTATAAAAGAAAGGGGGAAAATAAAATAGAAGAAGGCATACAAGCATGTTAGCGTCACCAGTGAGGTGTGTCAGTAGCTGGATCACAATCACATGTGAAAGACAGTGTATCCATGACTCCCACCTGGGCACACAGTGCCTTCACGGAGGTCCTTGATATTGGCTGTGATGGGCATATTTACACTAAAGAAAAGGTAAAATGCCACGAAGGACAGCTTTTTAAAAACTGATTATTTCTTAGAGCCAGTGTAGCAGCTCACCAGCAGGCTGTCACTTTGAACACCCTTGAGTTCCCTCAAACAGATGGTAATTCTGGAAAACTCTACCAGCTATCATCAGATGAACGGAGACATCTGATTCCTGATTCTTGGGACAAAATAAAGTCTCACATATTTATTTTTGCCTCCTAATTAGATGGAAGGTGAGACACTGGAGATGTTCACCTCAAGGGATTGAGATGGTATTAGTTTCAGGAACTCCCTAGAAATGAGGGAAGAGAATACTTTGCCATTCCTGTCTCCTCAACCACATGCTCTATATTTGACTCTCTGGTGTAGCTGATACCCACAGATCATCACAAAACAAGTGAGACTCCAAGAGAGGTGAGTGAGAAGGAATTGTGGGTTATCTGACTGGGATTAGAGGGTCACATCCTTTCAAAGATGTAGTTGACCCCAATGGACATGCAGGGATCCCTGGGTGATTTCAGTCTGCCCTGACCACCACAACCTCTAGCCTCAAACAGCCAGGATTACACAGTGGAGAATGTCAACCAGATGGGCATGTCTGCTGTGATCCTGATGGTTCTTGGGGTGCTTCTCTTTCAAGCGTGGCAGTCAGAGAAGACCTCAAGATGCAGCCAGGAGATAAATCTGAGAGAGAGAAGACTGTTCAGCAAGGTAGATCCTCACCACTGAGTGGGGTAAATTCTGGAAGAAAATCTGGAGCATTACACTGAGGGAACTGTGTGTTGAAAATGTCCAGAGGAGTAAATATGGTTCGCATGTAGGAAATGTGTGGAGAGAACATTTCTTGTTTGTAGTGGACTTTTGTGCCATTAAGCTGGTAATTTCCTGTCTACCAGTACTGATTGTCCCTGACTGGTCCCTGCCTTTCTCATTCCCATGACATGAGACTGCATTCTCAGACCCACACGTATGCACACTCTCACAGGCTGGTCCACTTCTATATATATACACATTCTCCTTCATTTTTATTAACCACATCCTTTGAAGTATACTTCTGTTCCTTATAGAACACAAAATCTGGTTTTGAATCACTGAATAGATGGGGTAAAAAGAGAGTCTACTTGGAAACAGATAATGGAAGACCATTCCCTAAACCCTCTCTGGACTCATAGAGCTCTTCTCTGCTTATCCGATGAGACCTGGTAGAGCTTTCCAGAATTACCATCTGTTTGAGGGAACCCAGAGGTGTTCGAAGTGACAGCCTGGTGGTGAGCTGCTACACGGGCTGAAAGAAATAATCAGTTTTTAAAATCAGGAAGGTGGAGAAGTGAACAGCAGGACCCACCTTTTCATCCCCACACATTAGCCAACTCCTTCTGGTCCCTGACTTGGGATTATATATTTCCACAGCACTTTCTATTTTTCAATCTGTCCATCTATTGTTTTAAGGAATGACATGGTGGGATTTCTGCAACCCACCATGCAATCTCTCTAGGAGGAAGGATTACCACATTAACATAAATCCAATTACTCATTCAGTTTGCCATCTAGATAGAGTGATGTAGGAAATGAACAAAAAGAGTTGTAGTCTACACTCCTGAGGGAGAAGGAGGTAGTGTGCTAAAGAGGGCCATTACCCACCTATCCCTGGTGTGGACTGTGAGCAAGAGATCCTCCTGAGGCTACACTCTCTTCCTTTAAGCTTGAAGAATTTGTGCCAGTGGGAGGGGGCCAGCTCCTGCCCTTACCTGTCACTACCAGGTACAGGAGGTCACCCTGCTGTGACCAGCTATTCCTGCTCTGATATGCACAATGATATCACCCTGAATCGTGTGAGCTCATGGATGCAAAGGAGAAACTGGCCTTGTTGCTGGAATCCTGCAAGGTCTTCACTAAGAAGGGTTCATAGACCTTCTCTTTATACAGAGAGTAGACATCAGCCTGCAGAGACGCCTGACCCCAGATGGTCACAGGGCTCCCCTTGGTGGCCATGGGGCTGGAATCAACCCAGATGAAGGTTTGGGGAGGCCCCCTAGAAAGGAATCAGATGGAGAGTTGCAAGGGGGACTTCTCTCATTTCCCCACTTGTAACCCCAAGGGTCCTCCCATATTGGTCATTATCAGTCCTGCCTCTCTGTGTCCCCGGGCTGCCCAGTGGGGTTGTT